CACACACACACACACACACACACATATATATATATATATGCATGTATGTATAAATTTCAACATAGCTAATCCAACATAACATACAATACAAGACAACTTAAAGGAAATAAATTGAAGCGAACATTTAATAACATTCTTAGGGAAAATTCAACAACATCCAACTTAGAACAAAGGGCAAACTTAATGAAATTCAAGCCAACATTCTCAAGAAATTACGTTCAAAGGTCAAACAGCCAACAATATTCTTCAAAGATGGACCTCCTCGGCTCCTCCGATAGGCCATAGTTTTGCACATTTCTTTAACATGTTAAAAGAAGACAAAATTGTGATTATTATAAATTTTGGTCTAGAATAAACTAAATGTTTTCTAAATGCAATTATTCAAAAATTCATAGTAGCTAACATTATCACAAGGCTCAAAGGCAGTACACCTTTTTACTAATCAATTATAGGATCCAATGCAATATTTGACAAATCTAAAATACATAAACAAAACTAACAAAAAGTAAGCGTTAAACAAAGAACTAAAAGAGATAAAGAAATAAGAACTAAGAAAAGGAAAAATGAAATGATGGTATAAATAAATAATTATCCAAATCAACTTTCTCAAGCTTTGCCAAATCATACTCAATGTTACTTGAATTGAAATGTGAAGATTTACGTTGCCAATCTTGAGCAACAATAAGTTGCTCGCACAAGCTTAGGAGTTCAATGAATTCCTATATGCATCAATTTCACGTCTACCACCACTAAAAGCGGATTCAAAAGCAACTTTAAGAATAGCAACTGCCAATAGATCACGAGTTAGTTTGGAAAGAATAGGATACTTATTATTATTGAGTTTCCATCAAAAGAGAACATTAAAGTCATCAGCATCTGTAGCATTATTCTCACTTAAATACTTATCCAATTATGTTTTCTGCTCTTGTCTGTCATTTGGCTCACTTGGGCTTGGCCACCCTCACCAATAGACTTAGGATAAAACATTCTTTTATATTCATCAGGCAACTGGTCCGTTGTTTTCTTTCAGGTTCTTAGGCATCAATGAAGCTTGCTCAGGAGAGTACATTTTCATTAAACAAAGTTTCACAAAATAAAGTTTGTTCCTTAGATCAAGAATAGAAGCAATGTAAAGCACTATATTCATTTTCTCTACATTTCTCCAATAGTTGTCAAATTTATACTTCATTCTCTTTACCGTTGATTTGAACTCAACATCAAGATTTCTTCCCCAATCTTGTAGTGCAATAAACAACACAAACATAATCAAGAAAAGTGTTGGAAGTGGTATAAGAAGAATTTGAAACTTTTAGGGTGAGTTCATAAATTGGTTCAAAAAAAAAAAAAGATAAAACCTCTTAGCATTTGTTCAATCCTTTTGTTTAAGCACTACATCTCCCATCAATATCTCACTTTTCTAATAAGGATCAACATCATCAAATGTATCAAAAGCCTTTTCAAACTTTTGAGTTGCATCCAACATTCAGTTGAATTCCATCTAGTGCTAACATTCAAAAAATAACAAACTCTTCGATTGAGTATTTGCAAATGAAACACATTCTTTAAACTTGGCTAACATAGACAATGATTGTCTCACATGTCTCACTATCCTTCTAACTTAAGTGACTAAATCATTCATTTCCTTCGATCCATCACCAATGGAACTAATAATATATGCAATACATCTCATACGAAGATATTTGCCTCCTAAAATACTATTTCTTAAATTGTTAAATGTTTTTCTTCAAGTAGGAGATTGTAACATCATTCAAACTAGCATTATCAATTGTAATAATGGGAATCTTATCAATCCACCGCAATCACGCAAACATTTTCAATTGTCCCAATGGCCTCATCTTTATGACTAGAAATGAGATAGAAGTTTAATATCCTTTTATTTATTCTCTGATCCTTGCCTATAAAGTGAGCCATAAGACACATATAATTGACTCTTTGTAATGAGGTCCATGCGTTTGTGGTAAGAGATACTTTTAAGAATTGCTTTAGGTGAGTCTTTTCATCAATATAAAGGTTCTAACAATCCCTAGTAACAGTCCATCATGATGGTACATGAAATCTAGGACATGTAGGTCATATGAAATCCCCAAATCCTTATCCTTCCACAAATCTAAAAGGCAACTCATCTCGAATGATCATCTTAGCTATACCCTTCTTAATGGCATCCCAAAGACCCATCTCCTCCCAATTGAAAAACTAATTTCGTTTGAGTACAATCATCACTAGCATGGGAAAATTTTTTACCAGAAACCATGTGATTCTTTAATGAGGTTATTCCATTTAATTTAGAATTAGCATAAAATTCTCTATCACAATAATTACATCTAGCTTTATTCTCACATTCATCATTGAGAAATTTGGTGAAGTGATTCCACTCTCCTGACCTCAGCCTAAGTGTTTTCTTCTTCTATTTAGAACATAAAGTTTCACTTCTTGCTCCATCACCATCATGTGCAGAGAATTGAGAGATTGGTTCTGTAGCCGGCGTCACATTAGGTGTAGGAATCAAATTATCCTTTTCAGTTGACTTTGACATCTTCAAAAATAAAGAGTATATATTCATATGTAGGTCAGTAATCAGGATTATATCAAATAGGCGAAGTATAATAAACAATTTGATGATCACAATTGTTATGTACTGTTATAACAATATAATGCAGTTATGCAGATATTATGCAATTATATGTACTGTTATGACAATATAATTGGACAAATGGACAAACGATATGAGCCTGGTTCTTATATATTACCAACAAGAGAAAACAGATTGCAAAACAAGGAAATAAATTACTATTGAAAGTTTTATTAAAATGAAATAAGCGCAGTTTTAATAGGGAATTTGCTTCCTTTCAACAGCATCTTTTCACTTGAATAAATTCAAGGACATGAAAATAATTAACCATGATGTGTGAAAAAATTATAATGATCTGGAATTTTAATCCTCTATGTAAATTGATTCTGTTATCTGTTGACTTAAAATGGCTCAGTTTTTCTCACTCTATGACTATGTCTTGTCGTTTTACTTTGTTAAACCTGTAATTGAATTTTTTAAACCTTCTCTCTCTATATCCAATAATGAACTTTTGAACTTGATGAAAACTGAAATAATCATATTCACAATACAAACTAGTATAAGATGCTTATTGTTTAGTTTTTTTATATATAAAAAATAATAGTATATTTTTCATTTATTAACCATCACAACACTAAACTCATGACTATATACGTTTGCATGTAACTTGTGAGTGATTAATATAATAATATATTGATGCAAAGGAGGAAAGATATATATTATAATCAAGTCAAATAAAGAATTGCTTATTGAAGAAGAATTGAAGATTTTGATTTTGGGGTTTGGTTTTTTCAAATTTGGGGGTTTAGGCTTTTGGGATAGGGAGTTGACTATCAAGGAATGGGAATATGGGAAAATTGGAAAAGGAGGGATTTTGGCCTGGGGATGGGATTTGGTTTAGGGGATTTAGAGTTTTGGATTTTGGTTGTGGGGATTTAGGGTACTGATGAAGAAGAACTGAAGTGAAGAAGTGTGAAGATGCACTAATTTAGAATAGAATCATCACCTTGTCGTCGTCGGGACTCAGGAATTTTGGCAGTTGTTGGGCTCAGGGAGGATTGGGATTGGGATTGGGTGTCTGGGTCTAGCTGGGAGAGGAATTAGATTAAAAAATAAAAAATATACATAATATTTTACAAATATATTATTTAAGATCAATTCGTTCGGTTAGTTTGTTTGAGAATTTTTTGGACATCAAGAACCAATCGAACAGATAAAAAAATCTCAAGAAAAGGAATCAAAAAGTTATAGAAATCGAATTGACTGAACTGTACAAAGAGAATTTGATTCGGTTCGGACCAAATATGTTTACCCTTACTCAAAACCTCCTAAACCCTTCTACCACCTTCACCACCATT